GGGGGGGGGGGAGTTTTACACCTTTTGGATGTTTATTGTAAGGCATCAGGTCAGAGAATCAATTGAAAATATCATCTAGATTCTTTAGCAAAGGGTGTCCTCAGTTCGCTAGAGAGGAGGTAAATTGGTGCTAAATCTGCAAAATGAATCTTTAAGTGAAAAGTATCTTGGCATGCCCTCTGAAGTGTGAAGATAAAAAATGGCACGTTAAAGTATCTAAATGACATAATATGGAACAAGGTCCAATATTGGATGGAAAAAACTCTTGCTAGCAGATGGCAAAGATCTTTTGGTGAAGCCTGTTGTCCAAGTTATTCTAGTGTATTCCATGGCCTGTTTTAAATTACCAAGGGGCTTGTGTGAACATATCAAGTGTATCATAAAAAAATTGGTGGGCAGCAAAGGAGGAGAAAGAGAAGATGCTTGGGTGTCTTGGGAGGTGAGACACGCCCAAACTTTATGGGAGGTGTTGGTTTTCATGGTCATATCATTCCCACGCGACACCCCTCCTCTTTGTGGGGTGTTGTCGGGTGGCGACCAGACAACCAATGCTAAAGGCTTCGCCTTGCTTGGTCAGATGACGATGGATGCCGAGGACCTACTTCGCTTGCTCGAGCTAGCATGATCTTTGAAAGCGAGTTAGTTTCGTTGCGTTCTTGTTGTTGTTCTTGTTGTTGCGTGTGTGTTGTTGTGGCTATTTCATCTTCTCTCCGAAAAAGTTGACTTAGTTGTGTGCTCATCTTAAGATTTGTAACACTTTCTTTATGGAATGAAATGCAACACTAATCGGTGTAGCTTGGCTCTTTGTCGGCGTGTGCTAGAGTGTTAGCGTCTGGTGGTGGTGCTTGGAGTCGGAAGGGTGATGCGAGCGGTGGCTACTGGTGGCGTAGAGGTGGCCAGTCGCGCTGGTGGAGCTGGGATGTCACGGTTCGGTGGATCTGCGATCTGACGGCGGCGTGCGGCTCAGGCGTGCATGCGGTGCCGTGGTGGATGGAGGCTCGCTCGGGTCTTTGTTGGGCGGTGGCCCTCGACGAGTGCGTCAGTGCGGCCGGCGCTAGGTAGGGCTGGCAGTGGTGGTTGGGCTTGTGCCCGCCGCACGGATTAGCCGCGGCCCTGGTGGTCGCGCGGGCCTAGCGTGGTGGGGATGCAGGGAAAAGAATTATATGAGGTCAGGTCTCATGGGCTAGCATGTGAGACCCACTTTGATGGATGACACGTGACATTTACAAATCATAAAGCATCTACCCCACCCCCATTTGAAATCAGAGGGAGAGATTAGATGCTTTATGGTTTGCGAATGCCACGTGTCATCCATCAGGATGGATCTCACCTGCTAGTCTGTGAGACCTGGTCTCATATAATTTTTTCCGGGCTGCAGGATCCCCGGGTGGTTGCAGGGCTGCACGCTGCTCTCTGGCAACGGTGGTTCGAGTCACCGGTGGGTGGCGTTTGTCGTCGGGCGACACGAATCTGTTTGGCAGTGATGGATGGCATCCGGCAGAGTGCAGGGATCAAGGGTTGACCAAGTCCGCACTAGCTTACCTCATGTTAGTGTTCTCCTTCCTGTTGCTTTATTATGGTGTTGGTCCGAGTAGGCACCCTTGTTGCTGATATGATGACGCTGATGGCCGTGGGTGTGGTGGCATGCGAGTTTGACTCGGTCAGGTCAAGGACTGTGCCAGGGCTTGCCCGACGCTGGCCGTCGGCAGCTACCAGGACGTTGATACCGCCTTTTATTGATCTGGTATTGGAACAGAAAAGAGTATCCCGCACCTATCCTATTTCCCCAGAGGTGACTCTGGGTTATCAAATCCACGAGAGGAAGATTCCCTTGACGCGATGGTCTCTATCAAGCTTTTGTCAAAGTGTCAAATCCAACTTTTGACTGGATCAGCAAGCAAATAGTGATTCAAACACTTATAATAAACAGAGGTAAGGGTGTGAGGTCTTATGCTTACAACCTTGTATTTGCTCGGGGATCAAATATGATATTAATTTGTGCGCTAGAAATCACTCATCGAGATGTGCTTGTTACGGATTGAAGTGGGGTATGTGTCCAAATAACATCTTGACCGGCATGAGTCCTGCATCAAGAATCAGTTGTCCTACCGCAGGCCCTATCCGACGCGCGGGGTTGCCTCGATAATTAAGATAATGAAATCAAACAAGAGCTTTGGGCATTTAATGACTACACCTCATTTTCACTAAGGATATGATCCATGTTACCCTACTGAATCTTACTATCACCGGTGTTTGGTATAACACTTCACGGTCTCCTTGCTCCTAGCCTCACCGGTGCTCGATC